TGCTCAGAACAAGGCGTTGAAAGAAACGCGAACAAGGGACAAAACTGCATTGTACATGCTGTTCAGAGCAGTTGATGAATCAGCCTTTGAAAAGATTGTTGGTTCGACTACATCGAAGGAGGCGTGGGACACACTAGAAAAGGCCTTCAGAGGAGTAGATAGAGTCAAGCAAGTTTGCTTGCAAACTCTTCGAGGATAAATGGAGAGAATGAAGATGAAGGAGACAGAGTCCATATCAGACTACATTACTCGTGTGCAGACGACAACAAATCAACTGAATCGAAATGGAGAAGCAACATCTGATGCTCGTATTGTCGAAAAGATTCTGATATCTTTGACAGATAGGTTTGAAAACATAGTATGCGCAATAGAAGAGGTGAATGACCTTTCAACAATCACTATCGAAGAAGTCGTTGCTTCGCTTGAGGTACATGAACAACGCAAAATAAAGAAGAAGGAGGAGGCACTTGAGGATGCAGAATCCAACAGAGATGAAAAGGTACTTTTCTCTCAAAATTGGCGTGGGAGAAGACATGGTCGTGGAGGACGTAATGGTGGTCGAAGTTACCAAAATAATAACTTCGGCAGAGGACAATCAAGCCAACAAAACTGGCGTGGCAAAGGACGTGGCCAGAGAGGTGGTAGATCGAATTACAACAACATCCAATGTTACAAATGCAACAAACAGAGGCACTTTGTGAAATATTGCAACTCCTACAATTGCTACAACTTTGGTAAAATGGGACATCTTGAAAAAGACTGTCGATCCAGAAGAAAGGTAGAAGAAACAACAAATCTTGCCCTAGAAACAGAATCGAATAAAGGATTTCCGTTAATGACTCAAAAGGAAGCAGATGCTGAAAATGACACTATGTGGTACCTGGACTCGGGAGCAAGCAACCATATGTGTGGTCATAAGCATTTGTTCAAAGACATAACGAAAATCGAAGACAGTCATGTTTTGTTTGGAGATGCGTCGAAAGTAAGAGTCGAAGGAAAAGGAACAATCAGTTTCTTACAGAAGAATGATTTGATAGGATCAATCCAAGACGTGTACTATGTACCAACACTCAAAGCAAATATTTTGAGTCTGAGACAACTCACTGAAAAGGGTTATTCGATTCTCATGGAAGATCGAAGCCTGCATTTAAAAGACAAGTCAGGACATCTGGTTTCTCAAGTCGAAATGGGGAGGAATCAAATGTATAAGTTGAATTTGAGAAGCATTCGAGAAAAGTGTTTGCATGTCAATATCGAAGACCAAACATCCCTGTGGAATCTTCGATTTGGTCATCTACACCAGGCTGGACTAAGGAGGTTAGTAAAGATAAACATGGTACATGGACTGCCAGATGTAGAATTCGAAGGAAAATTCTGTGAAGAATGTGTGTTTGGAAAACAGACGGAAACTTCATTCCCAAGGAAGGTAGAATATCAGGCCAAACATATTCTGGAATTGATCCACACTGACATATGTGGACCAATTACCCCAGAATCCTTCAATGGCAAAAGGTACTTCATATCCTTCATTGATGATTTTTCAAGAAAAACTTGGGTGTATTTTCTGAAAGAAAAGTCTGAAGCCTTAGAAGTATTCAAGAAGTTTAAGATAATGGTTGAAAAAGCAACAGACAAACACATCAAAGCCCTTCGATCAGACAGAGGTGGGGAATATACTTCGACATCCTTTATGAAGTACTATGAAGAGAAAGGCATAAGAAGATTTCTGACTGCAGCTTATTCACCCCAACAAAATGGTATAGCAGAAAGGAAAAATCGAGAAGTCCTTGATATGGTTCGATCAATGCTGAAGAGAAAAAACATGTCGAAGGAGTTTTGGGCAGAAGTTGTATAGTGTGCAATCTACGTTCAAAATATATGTCCACATTCGAAGCTGGGAGATTAACACCTCAAGAAGCTTGGAGTGGTCAAAAGCCAACTGTGTTTGACTCAAAGTGTTTGGAAGTGTGGCTTATGCACATGTGCCTGATCAAAGAAGAACAAAGATGGAAGATAAGAGTCAGAAATACATACTCATTGAGTATGATGAAAAAACGAAAGGTTACAGACTCTTCGATCCAATAAACAAAAAGGTGATAGTCAGTAGAGATGTTCGAGTAAACGAAGGAAGCAAGTGGGACTGGGACAATTCGAATGAGGTTGTGGTCGAAGTACCAGATGCTATATAGGAAGACACTCCGGCAGATCCAGAAGACTCTGATGATGAAGAAGGACCCTCACAACTCAGGTTGTGAAGCTTACAAGACTTGTATGAAAACATAGAAGAATTGCATCTTGTATGTTTATTGGAAGACACAGAAGATGTCAACTTCGAAGAAGCAATAAGAAACAAAAATTAGAAGGATGCTATGAATGAAGAAATTAAGGCCATCGTACGCAATGATACTTGGGAACTAGCTGAGTTACCAAAAGGAAGTCAAACAATTGGTGTGAAATGGGTGTTTAAGAAAAAGATAAAAACACAAGGTGAAATCGAAAGATTCAAGGCGCGACTTGTGGCGAAAGGATACATGCAGAAATCATGAATCGATTATGATGAAGTCTTTGCACCTGTTGCGAGAATGGAGACTATTCGACTGCTCATATCTCAAGCTGCTCAATACAAATGGAAAATACATCAGATGGATGTCAAGTCAGTCTTTCTGAATGGTGTGCTCGAAGAAGAAGTTTACATCGAACAACCCCCTGGATTCATGAAAATTGAAAATTAAAGAAAGGTGCTAAAACTGAAGAAGGAACTTTATGCGCTGAAGCAGGCATCACGAGAATGGAATACTCGAATTGACACATACTTCAAAGAAAATGGATTTCATCAATGTCCTTTCGAACATGCCTTGTATGTGAAAAAGAAAAAAGAGAAAATACTGCTTGTTGCTCTCTATGTTGATGATTTGATTTTCTTGGGTATCAACAATCAGATGATCGAAGAGTTCAAAGGCACAATGACAAAAGAATTTGAGATGACTGACCTAGGCCTGATGAAATACTTTCTTGGTTTGGAGGTTCAACAGGAAGAAACAGGAATCTTCATCTCACAAGAAAAGTATGCGAAATATATCCTGAAAAGATTTAAGATGGATAGCTGCAATCCTATTTCGACACCAATGGAGCCAGGAGCAAAGCTTTCGAAATTTGATGGGGGAGAGTGTGTCGAAGCAAACAAATTTCGAAGCTTGGTGGGAAGTCTTTGATACTTCACATGCACAAGGCCAAATCTTTCGTTGAGTATTGGAATTATGAGTCGCTTCATGGATGAACCAGTTGTTGCACACTAGAAAGCTTTGAAGAGAATCCTTTGATATGTCCAAGGAACTGTGTCACTTGGAATATTCTATTCGAAAGTAGAAGAATACAAGCTGACTGGCTACTCTGACAGCGATTGGTGTCGTGACATTGATGATCGAAAGAGTACTTCAGGATATGTATTCTTCATGGGAAACACTTCTTTCACCTGGCTGCCAAGAAAGCAACTCATTGTAACTCTTTCGACCTGTGAAGCAGAGTATGTAGCAGCATCCTGGTGCGTATGCCATGCAATATGGCAGAGAAGACTGCTGAGCAAGATGGAAATGAAGCAGGAAGCTGCAACAATTATTCGAGTTGACAACAGATCTTCAATCGAACTGACGAAGAATCCAATCAACCACCAACGAAGCAAGCACATTGATGTTCGATTTCATTTTATGGAGAACATGTGAAGGATGAAAGCATCGAAGTGAAGCACGTTGCAAGCAAAGATCAAGCAGCGAACATTCTCACAAAACCACTGTCGAAGGAGCTTTTCGACAGAGGCAAGAAAATGCTAGGCATGATGAATCGAAGGAATATTTGAATTTATGGGGGTGTTTTGTTGGTTAAATTCAAATCAGTCTTGGGAAAATCAAAAGCCAGATTCCCTTGGGCAGTGGGAAATTTATTCCTTAGGGACCTAGACATAGCTATTGCTGTAAACTCTTCATATTCTACATTGTGATCCTATATAAATCCAATTGTATCTCATATTGAAAGTCAGTTGGACAAAATTTATAAAGAAATGAAAGTTCATAGTCCACTCTCATTCTCTTCATATTTCTTCAAACACGATATGCCTTTCATCATCTACTATGAAAATGCTTCAGGTTTAGACATTTCCGCCAATCCAGTTTTCATGAAAGGACAAAACATATCGAGATAGACTGTCATGTAGCTAGAGACAAAGTTTTAGCAAGCGCAGTCCACTTAATTCCTGTCAATTCAAATAAACAAGTGGTCAATATACTCACAAAATCTCTGCATCCTGGAACATTCAACAACTTACTCAGCAAGCTAGGAAAGATTAATATTCATTCCAACTTGATAGGGCTGTTAAATGTAAAGAGAAAGAGAGTTAGTTACTCCATGTAACTAACTCTAACTGTTTTCTGCTTTGACAGTTAGAAACAGTTGGCATTGATCCCTAGCCATTTACTTGCCATATAAGCAATTGTGTATCATTGTAATAGCTAGTTTTGTGAGTAATGAAATAGCATCTTTTAATTCTCTTCTTCTTGCTTCTTCTTCCATAACCATGCTTATCTCAAGCTTTAACACAATTCAAGGCATGTCATATAACAAGTTTTGGAGAATAGACTAAAACAGAATAAGTATACATAATGATTTATCAATTTCATCTTTATTATACATTTCCAAATCCAAAATGAGTTGAACAACTTTCACAAATGTTGCAGTAAAGATTTTCATATATTGTAAAATAAAATAACATATTAACAAGATTAACAGACAAAATTGTGTACTTTAATTTTCCTTTTCCCAAATTTGATGCCAACTTATTTTCTACAAACTCCATTGGCCTTTTCTGCAACGAGAATTTAAATCGCACGACGAAGTCACGAAAAATTGTGATTAAATGTGACTAATACAGTCTTAATCGAGTTCATATTGCAGAGACATCGAAATTCTTGAAATCCTTTTTGAAAATACTGATTTTCACTTCAGAATCCTTAACTCATTGTTTCTGCAATAAATAGTGGAAAAAAACTATCACTCTAAAAAATGTAAATAGATCTATTAACATATAAACATGAAATTTGAATTTTTTTTACATACCAAAAGATCTTTTGCAATGAAGAACAGCTTCATAGATTGAACTATCAGAATCACAAGACATTCGCCAATCGTTCGCAGAATAAGCAACGCTAATTCTTGGAGATGATTCACAGTAACTTCCTCTAACATTCTTCACTGATTGAGTTCTTTTCATACCATTTTCATGCTTTGATCCTGAGTTTTGACCCCTCATTTTTCTACACAATGGTTTTACGAAATTCAAATACTTTTGAAACATTCTCCTTGATAGTGTTCTACACCTTTTCAAGTTCTTGAGTTTTCTATAGGAACCACTTTTTTTGGTACATTTAATATGGAAGAAGGTAAGGTTGAATTTGAATTTGATGAATCATATTCATATGGTTCAATATTTTTCAATGATTCATCAAAAAGTGGCATTAAGTAACCATTGGAAAAGAGTTGATCTACATCAACAAGAGTATTGAGAGAAGATTTTTGTGAAGTTGGAAAATCAAATTTGAAATCTTGTGAGTTTATAAAGAATCTTTTAGAAGGTGGCATTCTTGGATCCATTTCAATGAAACAAGAACCTAATTCATCAGAAGCATCAAAAGAAATTCTAAAGGAAGAAGTTTCGAATTCAAGGCTTTGATCTAGTGATGGTTTAAGGTTGAATAACCAGCTATATGAAAAACTTTCAATTGAAAGAGGATGAGTTGCTTCCATAATCTTTGAGTGAATCTTTGAAGAAAATTTGACAAGTGTGAGGGAAAAATGGGTTAAAGCAAGCTTGGTTTGTTCTCTTATATAGTCTTTTTCTCACCACAAACTATAGAATTCATGGGTTATCAAACATTGGCATTAACATTTTTTCACCAAACAACTAGGGGCAGTGATATTTTATAAACAGTTTTGAAGTATAATTCAAAGAGGCAGTGCATTGCCTTTTATGGTGACAAAAAGCTTAAAGTTAGGTACAGACATAATGAGATATATCTATTGAGGTTGCATGTTTTTTGGGGTAACCTAGAATTGCATTATGATTGTAATGCTTGAATATTTTTGGTGCTAGCTATCCTAGCAGTAGGTGGTAATTAGGGATGTGCTACTACTAACTTCATGAGGCAGCAAGAATGGTAGCATTTAAAATAAATTAAAATTACTTAAAACTTTATTTATCACTCATTAAATAAATACTACTAAAATATTTTTTTCACTGATACCGATTTATACCAAAATATATATATTGAACCTTAAACTACTTCTGCATTATGCAATTTATGACAAATAGTATTGCACCTTAAACTTATTGTTTCATTATGGAAACTAATTATTGGTGAATTGATGAGATATATTTTTGATGTGGTTGCGCGGTTGAACTTATAAAATTATCACTCTAACGTCTAAGTTTAAGAAAATGAGTCAACAAAAAAAAGCATAAAGTGAATTGTGATTACAATCGTACTTTAAACTACACCCGTGGTAGTTTATATATTATGGATGATAATTGGGCTTATTTCGTATTATGCTTGTGGTTGGTTTTAGAACACTAGCATGCTTGTCGTGACATGACATACGACAAACCTTTCAAAAAAATTGTGTCACCCCCAGGATCTTTATGAGGAGAAGTGGATGAGATCAGGGAAACAAACACATTAAATGTTAGTCTCATCATTGAGATGTTTCGCATAATTTCCTTACATGTGACCTCAGTTCCATAGGTTAGGCCGTGGCGCTTTACCTTAGGAAGCTCGAGGGCATTCAAGTGTCATTTTATTTTTAAGGAGCGACCTGATCGTTTATTTTTCATCTTTTCATTTTCATTTATCTTGGATTGTAAATTTATCCATCTTGTTCTACTATAAAAAGATTATATTAGTCTTTCAAATTATTTTCGCTCTTTCTTAAAACTGAGGCTTGCTTTCTTCTCACTAACCCTTTCCTCATTCCCTAAACTCTTATGAAATTTTATATTTTCTCTTTTTCCTTTTATCTAGGTTATGCGTTTTCTAATTCACCATCATCTTCAAGTTTCACTTATCTTTAACTGTTTTTTCACTTCGCCTCCTTATTCAAGTATTTGCCCATTAAATTTTGAAAGGCTTGTCTTTGCGGTCAAATTTTGTTGCTTTGGTTTTTGAAAGCATATTCAAGAAAACAGAGCAATAATTAAAGGCATTTTCCTTACTGTTTTTTCATTTATATATTTTCTATACTGTTTTTTTTTTCATTTCTAGCCCATTTTCTTTAATTTTATTGCTTTGTTTTCATGTCTTTGTCATTGCCAATATAGAAAATATGACTGAAACGATGATAGACCCAGATATTTGAAAACCCATATATTTCAAATGATTATCCTTTAGAGGTCAATCGACCCACCACTATTCATATCATGCTTAACGATAATTATTGGTCTGGCGAGGGTTTTGGAGAAAATGGCGATGAAACGGCTAGTGCCTTTACCGAGAAAAATACTGATGAATCTTCTATGGAAGAGGGAGGGGTGAAATCAGGTAAACTTGATACGAGGGATATGACCAGTGGACTCACTATTTTGCTAGAACTTTTAGATAAGCGCATGGCTGAGACCATACTGATATAGAAATTAGGAATCACATAAATTTTCATAGCTTATATGCAGTTTCTTACCGACATTATCTATTTCATGACAATTGGGAGGACATAGATTGACATCACTGTGGAGGTCAGGTGGAGCTAGTGGAACTATATTTTACAGGTAATATATCTTTTATCAAGACAATGTCTTTTGATGTTGACAACTATAAAGGAAAGAACAGAGATATCCATCACGATAAAGATGAAAACAATAATAAGTCAAACAAAGCACTTAAGAGGTTAAAGATGCAAGTCATGAGTATAAAATTTTGATAAACATGACTATCAGATAAAGGAAAAACAAATTAGATTCTATCAAAAGCCTCAAGATATCTCAAGCAAGTGTCAACGCAAAAGCTTACAACCGACAAAGGCTTAGAGAAAATATCTTAAAATAGTAAGTGAGTGAAACTATGTAAAAGCAAAAAGAATTTTTCATAAAAGTACATGGATATAATCACACACACACATAAAAACCTTTTCATCAAATGATTTTCCAAACAAAAACACTTTGAAAAACCATACAGAAGTTGTATGGAACGGAATGAGAGCAGTAAAAAAGCCACAAATTTTTTTTCACTATATTTAATCAGTTGAAGCAAAGTGCTAACTGATTAGATTAACATGCACTTGAGATTCAAGGCAAGTTAAATGCACCCAGATTCTATGCAACACATATATATATATATATATATATATATATATATATATATATATATATATATATATATATATATATATATATATATATATATATATATATATATATATATATATATATATATATATATATATATATATATATATATATATATATATATATAATTTCAATTTTTGAACTTATATACAATTTATTTTAAACCTTAACTGATTGAACCAATCGATTAGCAAGGACTATTTTTTCTTAAATGATATTTCCTTCTTCGGGGAACATCAAGCCTATAAATAGATGTTTCATTTCTCATTTCAAATCATCCAAAATATGATTTTGTATGTTGACACTAACTCTTTCTCTCTCTCTCTCTCTAAAGTTTTTATTTTTAACTTTATCTCACTAGTTCTTATAGCCAAATGTTGTTGTGAGGAAAATACCTTTTATGAGTGAGTTCTCTTATGTATTTCTAGAAGGATAGCATTGTATACATTCTCCAACGTAACTATGTTTATAAACCTTTGTGAATATTGTCCAAATAGGGATTATATATGTGGTTCAATCCTAAACCCGTTAAAAGCTTATGGTTGGGAATTGTGTGATTTGTTCCTAGATTGAGGATTATCTAGCTTTGATAATCTTCCATTGTTTCTTTATTGGTTGAAGATTAGCCTATATGAAAATCTTCCTAGGTTTTGAGATCATCCCATTTACAATCTCAAGGTTATTTTGGTTATCCTGTTAAAACAAAAAAGGAGCTCAGATATATTTTAGAACTTGAAGACTAACATCTATAAGGTCTGTGTTCGTAGAGAAAAGACTAACTACTTAAATCTATAGTTGGAAAGGATGCTTGGCCACTTAAGTTTCAACAAGTTATTAGATAAGAGACGCAAACGCTCATATAATTTGTCTTGTAATATTTTGGTTGTAAGACAACCATCATTTTCTTATATAAGGGTTTTTTTTTTGAGATTTTCCTACTAAAAACTCTCAAGTATTATTGGAAACTCTCAAGACCAAGTCTTGGGGTGAGGAGTACGTCTTTTTTGATTTTGATTGAACCTCTATAATTCCTGGTGTTCCTTTTTTTCCTTTAACATTTTAATTTCTTCTTTTTAAATATGTTATTTCCGCTCCTTAGAATTAGAAAATATTTTCAAACTCTTATTTAAATTGTTAAAAGTTTTTAAAATCTCGTTTTGTGTGTGAAGTATCAAGTCCAACAAGTGGCATCAGAGTCTAACTCCTGTTAAAGGACTAATCGTCTAAGGAGAAAGATGACTTCCAACACAAGATCATTTTTAAACACACCACCACTTTTTGAAAAGACAGTTTTTATATTTGGAAAATCATATTTAAAATCTTTTTTCAAAGTATAAATCATGATTTGTAGAAAATATTAATCAATGGTCTAGTTTACCCTACTCATCAAATAAATAATGAAGTAGTGGAAAAAACCTTATTCTCTTTGAACCAAAGAAGAAAAGATAAAAATAGATTTAGATCTCAAATCCAAAAATTTCATAATAATGTCTTTAGATGATAACAAACTTTTGATGTTCCTCATTGTAAAATCGCCATGGAAATGTGGGATACTCTATAAAAGATCTATGGAGCTTCTCAAAGAATCAAGTTAGAGAAGATGAACACATGAGGAGAAGATGTTAACTTTAAAAATTTTCCCAGCACTAGACTCGTAGGAAAATTTATTAGAAATTATTTTGCTAACATATATCTAAGAATTAAGAATTTGAAATTTTATCCAACTCTTAAATCTATATATGAAAACCTTCATAAATTTTAGGAAAAATCAAGAAAGAATGAAATTATTTAGAAGAAGAACGAGTTGATTCAACTACTCAAAGATGAACAAATCCAAACTAAAGAATCACCATTCACATTCTGTTTGTATCATACAACTCTGGTTCAATCTTTCAAAAAAAATACTCTATCATTGAACAATCAACATCAGACGAAGGATTCTCCTGTTTAAGGAGCAACAAAGAAGATGAAGAAGTTTCTTCAACAATTGAACAAAGAGGTGGAATGACATCAACCTTGGGGAGAAACATAAAGTAATCATCTTCCAAGGAAGAGGAAATAACATACTCAAAATCACCCTACAAGGAAGATATATTTTCAAGATGGATAGAAAAGAAAAAGCATCCAACGCACAAATATGATATGGACACCAAAGGTGAAACCTTGCAAATTTGGGATTTGTAGCTTGAAAGCTCTAAATAATAAATTATTTGAATAAGTTTTACAAAGAAGAAGTATACTTAATAAGTATAAATGTTTTAAAGCCTTTTATTCTGAAGATGAAACAATGAAGACGAATTTCTATCGTTGTGATCAAAGCAACAAATTTTGAGTGTTTCTCCAAAAATTTGATATGAGATGATCAATAGAATGAATAAGCATGTTATGGACATATTCATTGTTGTTATTTTAACAATTCTCGCATCCACCAATGTATGGAGAAGGACACACTAGTAAGGTGTTTTTCCATAAGGGCTTTCATCAAGAAATTTCTTGATAAAATAGTATGTACAAGTATTCTAAGCTTAGGGGGTACTAAAAGAATATGTTGGAGGTGCTAAGGAAGCAACAAACCCAAACAAACCAACCAAAGCACTCAGAAGAACTGAACGACTAATTATAATCGATTATCACAAATTGCAACCGGTTATAATTATGTGAAACACATAATTTAAAAAAAAAAGTAATCCTAACGCTCCTGAAATATCAAATCTCAACATTAATGAAAATCTCATCAAAATCTGAAATATTATGAAATCCAATATGTTAAAACAAAATTCAAACGATTAGAATATTCAAATTTGGGGAATTTGGATACAATATTTGGACAACACAATCTCCATTGAAATTTTGCTCAGAATATAGGCCCAAATCCATCAAAGTTCACTCTATAAACAGGTATTGTATTATTACCTTCTCTTGCATTTTACACTTTCTTCCCTCTACACAAAAATAGAATTATTCTCAAAAAGTTCATCATGAATCCTAGAAGATTAAGTTTCACCTCTAGCCCTCTCACCGATGAATTCACAACCAAACAACAAGAAACTAGATTCTTCCCAATCGAATAGTCACCAGAGTTCATACCTTAGATCCCAATATTTCAAAGAATTCAAATTCTTAAAAACCCTAGAAGAACTCAAACTCTCAAACTTCCTTTTCACACCCCCTAAAATAATTTATACCACCCTACTGAAAATGTTCTCCTCAAACCTTCATCTGACTGATGGAATTATCCAGAGTGAAGTAAGTAAACATCACATAAAGCTATATGTAGAAGAAATTGGAAAACTTATTGACCTTCCTCGTGAAGATGACTCACCAAGATAGGAGACAAAATCCAAAGGTACAATTATGTCATTGTTGCATCCTTTGTAATGAAAAATCCATCTTCATACATAGCTTACCCTCTCACAATTGAACACATCCTTCCAAAAAGCGGAATAAACCACTATATAACCTCTTATATTACCCTTCCTAGGAAACCCTGATCACCTAACCCAAAGCGAGGTAAAGACCATTTGGACATTAGAAAACAAAATCGAAGTGAGCTGGGCAAAATAAATAATTAAGCATATGTTAGATAGCAGGAAGGAAGGAACATCTCTGCCATATGGAAACCATATCACAAAAATCCTAGAAGAAACAGGGTACGACTTTGAAAATGAAGAATTTAAGGAGAAATCATCTTAAATAGGAAAATCTATTATGTCTTCAATAAAGACCAGACTCGCAAAAAAAAGGATCACTGAAAAACAACGAAGTAAAAGACATCCAAATTTAACCCTATTAGAAAACTCTTTTCCTCAACAATCTACAATCAAAGACATTAATAAGTTCATATATCACCTCATCATCCCAAACCAAAACAACCTAAATTTTGATGATCTTGATAAAGAGCTATCTCATTTAGGTTTCTTTTAAAATGTTAATTTTTTACTTCTGCACTTCATTTTTCCATCTTATATTTCATTTCCTATTTAAATAATATAAGCATGTATTTCCTTTCCTAAATGACTTTATTTCTTTTATTTGCATATCCATTAAAAATCACCTTGAGGTTAATAATTTGATAAATGTGAGACCTGGTTACTATACTTATTCCATAATGATATTTATCCCTTTCTTAAAAAACATATAATCCCTTTTTTTTATACTTAATATATACTTACTCCCTTATCACAAAAAGTAATTATGCTATGCTTAAGTATATAATGCAAAAATATATGATTGTTAGGTCTTATAATACTTGTTACATATCTATTATGGTGTCTCTTATTAAAGTATGATATTCTTTGTCGATATATATATAAATGCAATATGATGTTTTGTTTTCTTCTCTAAACAAATGCTTGACATATTTTAATAACTGTTTATTTTCTTTTTAAACAAAAATAATTATGTTTGAGTATAGAATGAAAAATATTTCTTAAACGATATCCGCATATAATCTTGATTTACATATATATGATGTTTAATTTCTAAAAATTCTCATACACGCCTATATTAAGAATGCAATATGATAGCTTTTCTCTTATACAAATGCTTGCATACTTAGCTTTTTGCAAAATTGCATTTTTACACGCCTTTTTTTATTTTGACAAAAAGGGGGAAGTATACTCTCAGGGGAAGAATATATATTTTATCTAACTCAGGGGGAGTTTATCAATCCAAATATGTATTGTATCTTTTACCAACCTCCATGAGAGACGTGTTGTCATCATCAAAAAGGGGGAGAATATGGAACCTTGTTTTGCAGGTAATAGATTTTTTATCAAGATAATATATTTTGATGTTGACAACTATAAAGGAAAGAACAGAGATATCGATCATGATAAAGATGAAAACAATGATAAGTCAAACAAAGCACTTATATAAAAATATTCATAGGTTTTGAGATCATTCCGGTTAAAATCTTAAGGTTATTTTGGTTATCCTGTCAAAACCAAATGGGAGCTCCGATATCTAAAGCATTATTGAAAACTCTCAATACTATTTTATCTTGTACCATAGTAATGTCCTTGCACCATAAAATTAGTGTTGTGGAAGGAATATTTGATCTTGTACCATATACTATTCACTCACATAAAATCTTTTTGATCTTATCTTCTAATATTTAGAGGCTTCAGAATGAGTGTTGATGAAGCATGCTTAGAAGGATAAAAAGCATAATGAGAGTCTTTAGAACCTTGCATTCAGAGTCTTCAGAACCTTGTCACCAGAGTCTTCAGAACTTCCCAACTCGAGAGCATATTATCTTCAGAGTTTGATAGTCTTCTGAAGCTCTTCTATCATAGTCACAGTCAAAAGCTTTTAAACAAATGTTCTTCAGAACCATTAAGTCGATCGAAAAATTAACTAAGTTTTTGTAAAGTGCACTTTGTATCACTTCAGAGTCTGAGTGTGTTAAGTTCAGAAACATTCCCAATTTTTGAAGTATAAAATACTTAATCAACGAGAAAGGAATACTTTCCAAATTAATACATTATAAGAGTCTGAATTGTAATTTTTGGTTCGTCACCTCAGAGCCTGGTTTGCTATCAGAACATGATGAGGTATTAGAACCCGGTTGGTGTATTAGAGTCTAGTTGGATTTCCTTTTAACAAAGACATGTTTAACATGACTTCTGGATATCAAATCATGACATATCTTCAAAGTTTCTAAACCTAGTTACATAAACTTATAAATTTCCTATTTAGAAAAATTTAGTGAACTTTTTTAAATTTCTTGATCATTCAAACATTATTAGAGGCAAAAAATATCAGAACATGCTTGGGATAAGTGTTGAGAGATATGTATATCAAAATAATCTACTTTATCCCCCTTTGTCATTAATGGAAAATACTTAAAACTTTAAACCAGAAATAAGAACTTCATTGATTAAACAAGATAAAGGTACATATTCCAAATGGTGAAACCCAGAAACAAAAACAAAACATTAAAACTAGAAAGGTAAAATCAAAGGGTTTAAGGTGGAGGAAACATACTTCACATAATGAATTCCAACATATAAGTAATCTTGGAGTTTGTCTAAGCTTTCTCTTTAAACATATCATCCTGTTTATCCATCCGCGTTCTAACAACTGTGTTCTCTTGCTTGATTTCATCAAGAGTCTTCATGAGAGTCTTAAGCAGAGCAGTAAAATCAGAAGTAGAAGACTTCTTAATTCTAGAAGAAATCATAATATCATAGGTTGGTGCAGAAGCATGTTCATCAGAAAAAGACTTCAGTTTAGCATGTCAAGAAGTAGAAGTTTCTTCAACAAGAATCTCTGGATGAGGAACAGAAGCATGCAGAAGTAGTTGTTCACATTTTTGCAGAAGTTGATTCATGATACCAAGAAATCTTAAATGTAAATTTGGCTACGAATCCTTGAAGCATATTTCCTTTAACACTAAGAGTTAGTGTTAAACCATATTCTAAATTTAGTTCAGGTTGTGTCACTCTCAGCAGGGTTTACACAATATGTGCAAACTTTCTTTAAAGAGTTTAGATGTTCATTTACCTCATTCTAAAAATATACCATTAATTCCTCCATATTTGGTTTGGGTGGTGGAAGAATGTTGGTTCTATGAAAGGCTAGGCCAGAAGAGTTAGGTTGGGTGTCATAGGAATTTATCGTAATGTCATCTTCAGAATCTGATGAAATAGAGATAAAATCTTCTGAGGAATCAGGAGATGAGGGATGGTTAATAATATAATCTAATTCAATATCCATAACTGGAATACTGATTACATTTGCAGGGCCTTTTGGTGAATGAGGGTCTTTTGGTGAAGGAGAGCCTTTTGGAAAAGTATTAATTTCTAGGATATTATATCTAAAGGAAGTATGGAAGGATGGTGAGGGTAGATGTTCAATAAGTGAGGGTTGTGAATGTGGTTTTATAATTTGGTTTAGGAGTGGTTTAGGAATTTGTGGTTGAGGGGGTGGATTTATAGTGGTTATGGAAGGTTGAAAGTTTGATTTCAGAGTTTCAGAAACATATGGTTATTTGTTGGAAGGTTCAAGTGGAGGTACTCAAAATTGAATGGTTTTATAAGTTGTTGATTGAGAATAAGGTGAGGATAAAAAATGATTAGGATAAAGAAATAAAGATAAGAAAGTATCAACAATAGTAGACTCACTAGGTGGAGGATTCTAAGGACTAGCAACAACTTTCTCAGAAATCATAAAGCCTTCAACATTTTATGGAAAAGACCCCAAAGGTCTTCTCTCAGGAGTATAAACAGTGACCTTTCTAGTAGAGCCAGAGGGACCATCACCAATACTCTTAGAAACTTGCCTTTTCTTTCTGACAAGAGGATCAACAGGCTCACCTGGAAGATCATCGAGATAACCAGAATCAGCCGCATTAGCATAGATGTATTTGAGAACTTGTTCTTGAATATTCCCTGGAAAGTTTTCAATTAGATTTACACTAGAATCATAAGATACACTAGGTGTTTCAACTTGATCTAAGCATGTTTCCAGATAAATAAGCAAATCAGTTAGAGATTCATTCATGGTGAACAGATGATAGTCATCGACTACATTCCTCATGGAACAAAAATCAAAACTATAAACATGAAAGTTACTCCATTTTTCCTCACGATTCCAGAAATGTAAATATCTTAAACTATAAATCAAAGATGAGCAATAATTTTGTTGGCCATAATCTGAATCCTATTTTTTTCCAGAAATTTTAAACTCAAAATTCTCCAAGCTCAGGCAATATAAATGAAAACTATTGACATGGTTAGCTTCAGGACAATGATGTCTACATTTTATCTTTGAAAATGAAAGCTTAACAATTCCTACATGAAGAGTTGAAAGTTCATAAAATTACCTTTAAAACTGGAAATCATGAAATGAGTTTGAGCTTCATTCAAGTTGTGGTGATGATCAGGTTAGTTTCCTCAAGCCCCTAGGAAGCTAATGCAACTCTTATTTGGTGTTGAGAGTGCTTGAATCGTGCTGGAGAAGTCCAAGTGCAAAGCTCTATTTTTTAAAATTGAGGATGGTGTAAATGGTGTTACAGTTGTGTTGCAGGTCTTTGGATAGCTTATATATGTATATTAGAAGCTTTGTAAAAGGTTTGGCCAAGAAATGCACAAGTGGATTTGGAGATTGGATTCAAAACTCATAAATGACAAGTTTTGAGGTATTTTTGGTGATTATGTGTTTTAGAAAGTTTGAGGGCTTCTAATTTAGTGTGTTAGGTTTCAATATGTGTATGTATTTATAGGCAAGAGGTTTTATGTGCTACAACGAGCCAGAATTTGAAATCACATGTTATGGCACTCTTACTTGTTTTTGAAGCAAGCATGAAGAACATGTTTCCAATGTTTGTACCAAGCTATATTAGAGTAGTTAAAACTTTAAACAAAGCTTGTTCTGACTTGTAGAAGTTGAGTGTGACCAGGACAACAAGTTAGAGGCTGAAGACAAGTTAACTTTGTGATTAAACTCACTTTTCAAGAATGGATATGTTACTTTCTTCCAAAAATGGAATGATCAATTGGATAATGGCTCAAACACTTGGATTATAGCTCAATCAGTTGTGTAAGCATTCAATTAAGGAGTTATATACAAGTTTGAGGCCTACAAAGTGAAGATTATGCAGCATGGCTATGGATTTGGTCAATGTTCATCACAAAATCTGCCTTGTAATTCAAGAATGAAACCCTAACTTCATGGATTTGATTCACGTAGCTCAAACATGATCTCAATGAGTTATTGGACATTTTGGAAAGCTTGAAACATCCTATATAACTTCTATTTTGATCATTTTTGCAAAATCAAATTGGAACTGTAGCGGTAGAAATGTTCAAGACTAAGCCATTGGATTGACTAGACTTTATACAAATCAAAAAAAAATCGCCACCGCGCTTTATTGTTTCCAAAGGAATGGGAAAAGATAGAATAACCCAAAAGAGGGGGAAAGATTCAAGGTTAGGGGGTTGGTTATGCAAAGGGAAGGTATTAGAACCCTAAACATCTACGATACTCCGCAGGAACCTCTTTGAAAAATCTTTATATTTTGGCTATAAAAATGTGTTGTATAGAAAATGGATAGTGGAGGTGAGAAAAGAAATATATATTTTTTATGATTTTTGCCCCCGTCGCGGTTGCGAACCTTTAGTGCCTACGTACCACCTTTCATGCAATAGGGGATCAGGGTACACGTAGTTCCTCTTTTAAAAATTTGAAACACAAGTGTGTTGGTTAATTTTAAGAGATAACACATCATCGTCATTGTCTATGTGGAAAACATACTTACTACCCACAATCATGATAAAGGAGAATTGGCATCATCTCAAAGTGGGGGATATGGCTTGGATTTTAAAATCAACAATGCCTCACTCAACACCAAAGTGGAAAATATCTCACTTAACTACATATTGTAGAAGTATAGTTGTTTGCATTACTACAAGGATTGACAAGAGTCTAACCTTTTGAGAAAAGTTTAAAGATAAAAGCCAAAGTGGCAAAATGGTTTGAAATGAGATTGATTGACTTTTAGTCTTCTCACAAAAAAATGTCAAGGTATTATTAAGTTGATTGAAGTTTATTGATGAAAATGTTTTGAAAATGCATGGACCTAAGTCCAAGTTTATTATGAAAGTGTTTAAGTTTCAAAACAAGAAGGGTTTTCAAAAGGAGGGAGAAGATTTTTGAAATTAAAGAAGATGGGAGGAGAAGAAGAGACTATCCTAAAGCATAATGTAAAAGCTAAGGATAGGGACCATCGAACAAATAAGAAGCCAAAACTTGACATTATGTGTCAATATAGAATTCTTATTCTTTGGATTGAAACCAAGCAAGCAAAGATACTAGACCTCTTGAGAGAACCAAACTTCAAGTGTATTTAGTCTTCACAAAAATTGGGCAGAGTAACGGTTGTATACGAGTGAATTCCAGATTACAAACAAAGAGGGTAATCACAAAAACCTGCACATAAAAACAAACAAGCAACCCAATGTCTTGAGGTAAACCTCAAGAACTCCAGACAAAAATAATCAGATAAGATCACAAGGTCTCCAAGATAGGCCAAGGTTTCAAATCCTAATTCCAAGAAATAGTCCCATGCTCCATCATGCCAAGGATAGTAACCAAATAGTCCAAGTACCATTAAGAGTTTTTTAGGGTTTATGTTGATTATTAAGTATCTTAAGAAAAGAAAATAAAAGCTCAAGTGAGCAAAGAAAGAATGACAATAAAATAAATGCTCAAATGAGCAAAGGTGAAAATGGCATGGAATGTAAATGCTAAAAAAATAAATAGTACATAAAGCATAAAAAAGAATAAAAGCATAAGATAAAACAAGTCAATAATTAGTGGTTAGTTGGATGACCATCTTGAAACTTGCATTTGGAACTCATTAGAGGATTTGTGGAACCAAAGCCTCCACACAACAAGTTACATTTGCTTTTTGTCAAGTATATCATCCATTTGGAATTCTCACAAGTACCATTTAATGATCAACGATGTTTAAGTGATCCGCGTTGACCAAAGGTATTGTAGATCCATTAGAGGATTGGTAGAACCAAAGCCTCCACACAATGAATCTCAAGGTTATTGGATCAAAGAGATTATATTAACATGCTTAGGCTTGTAATCATAAGTTTGGGCCACGAATGATCATTTATTCGAATTGGGACAAAATTTAGCGCTATGTTAAGCAATCATAAGTGGACTTATATAGAAGTTGCACCTATTTTGAGGCCGATCAATAGCAATCTATGCACCATTTGTTTTAAGACATGATATAAAGATCATTCTCCAACAACATTTAGTGCAATAAGAAGGGGATGAGATGAAGAGGGATTAGGGTAAAAAAATGAATAAACCACTTTTGAATTAAAAATTTAATCAAACTATTATTAAAATCATTCATCCATTTTGGTGGAGTTGAACTCAATACCAAAGATCCAATGATGTTAATAAAGTCATGATCAAAAAATCAACTCAAGATATCTAGAAAATAATCACAAAAATAATATCATATTTAATATATACATTAAAAAGGTTTAAAAAATGTTAAAAAATAGAAAATGGTGAGGAAAATATCAATTATGTTCAAATTAATCAAGAAATGAAAAATAAGGCCATAGAAAAATCAGAAATGGATCCGAATATTTTTATAAAAAATTTGGTAATTTTTAAAAGTCAGAAACTATTTTTAAACCATTTAAAATTACTAAAACAAACATAAAATAGATCAAAAATAGTAAACCTCAACATAAAATTCCATAAAATTTTCAGAAAGTCAAAAATATGCAAAATAATATTTATGAATTTTTTCAGAATTTAAAAATGTCAGAAAGTATTTTTTAAGTAATTAAAAGAAAGCAAATAATACAAAAAATATAAAAAATACCAAATGTTAAAATAAAAATTTGAAAAAATATTCATGAGATCAGAAATAATTCAAAGTATTTTTGTGAATTTTTTTCATAATTTTTGGATAAAAAATAAAAGAGTTATGAATTTTTGAAAATTTAATCAAATAAAATATAAAATCAGAAAATAAAATAAAACCAAAAAGATGTGGACCATCAGATCATAGGCAAAACGCGTTAGTAAGCTAATCCAATGGACCAGACGCGCTGTGCTTGATATGGACCTTAGTGAAACACACATGTGATCAGAAAAAGGGCAACCAATGAAGTTAAAACGTTTGGCACGCTATCATTGGCTGAGACGAGACATGTCATCGTCTTCAACCTCCAGACACC